ACACAGCGATGACAGGGTAGTATTAATTTGTTCTAAGTAATAGTTTCTGGCCAAAGTTGAACGTTGAGATACTCAAACATTTTCTGTAAGAAAAACTGTAATTTTACATTTGTAGATTTCTAATATGCCTAAGCGAATATATAGAGCACGATTGGCTTGAAGATTTTCGCTTTATCCAACGGGGTTTTCTCGCACATGCGTTGGGTTTGGCATGTTTACCACTGTTCCCTTTTGCTGTTTGCCCTAATGGCTTCTTTTTCACCGTTTGTTGAAACTGTAGAAGAAAATAGCTTCTACAAAAATATATATGCCATAGAGTATGCACATATGTATATATATTAGGGTGGAGCGCAAAAAAAAAATTTTTTTTTGCTTAGCCTGAGGGTAAAATCTGTAGATTATAAAAAATTAAAATTTTTGGACAAAACAAACAAAATTTTTTTCTTAACATCAAGAGGTTCAGTTCTAAAGTAAATTTCGAGTTAAAATTTTTTTTGGACAAGAAAAAATTATTTTCGGTTTAAACTCGTTACATTTATATAAAAATTACTGAATGTGACGTTTTTTGACTCAAAATTTATATCAACATTTACGGATGTTATCGTTTAAGATTTTTTTTTAAAACTCCAATAATGGCCACAAAATTTTGTTCTAAGTTAATAACTTTTAATTGGCGAGAAAGAGGACTCTCCACAGCTTCTAGAATACTTATCAAAAATGTTTAACGAAATAAAAATTTTAACTCGAAATTTACTTTAAAACTGAGTGGGTCGCCTCTAGATGTTAAAATTTTAATTTTTTTATAATCCACAAATTTTATCCTCAGGCTAAGCAAAACAAAAAATATAATATTTTTTCGCTCCACCGTAATGTATATATATCTTGGCTTTAGTAGCAGCATATCGCATTCAGTCGGTGTTTATGAAAACCTGCAGCATGAATGAGTAGATGAGGAGGACGCAAAATCGCTGCACATGGCTGTTGATATGATGGGACTTCATGAGGCCAGCAGTCCAAACAATAAGGGCGTATAATTAATTAACGCCATTTTTATAAGCATGTTAAAAAGTTTGTAATTAAAAAACGTGGTCTAAACATTGTTGCAGACGCTTGGTGTACAAATTTAGAAATACTGTTACACGAGCCGGGATATACGGACTACAATGTACTACAAGAAAGTCTTTACTATAACAGTCGGCAGCTTGACAAGCAATTTAGTGTATTAAAATTGTAAATTATCAACGGTTGATCATTTTATATTTAGCGGTGTTTTTGAAAAGAAATTTGGTATATTGAGTTCTCTGCAAGTCTTGCGAGTTTGCGTACTGTAGACTTTTAAAATTTTGGTTTTTCGAATACGTTTGTATCGTTTCTATCCAACTTTGGCTATCTAACCTGGCTCTAGTTAGCTTTGGTCTCTATTGGAATAACGAAATATATACTATGCAGCTATAAATTTAAGCAATTATACACGATAAAGTGATTCATGATAAAGGATGTTGCAATTGGTTTATTAGAGCGAGCGTAATATCTCCCGCAATGCTTTTAAATAGTGCGTCAGCCATTCGATTTTCCTGTTTTATTTTGAATTCAAAAAATTCAAAAGTGAAGAAACACAGATCACAAATCAGTTATGTTTCTTGTATGAGAACAATAAGTTAAATTAGTTAAAGAAAGTCTGCCAGCCTTTAATAGAAATCTGTGTTCTTTAACTAAGTATTTTTAATAGCTTTTTAATGTTCTCCATTTTGGCCTTAATTTATCGATTTCTTTACCGTTCTCAAACTGTCTCCCATTAAACGAAATAATTTCATTTTATTTAATTTCAGACTTGTAACGCAGTGGAATTCCCGCCAGCCATCGGCATTGCCAAAAATGAGCATGGTCCTATTGAACGCCGGCGTACAAATAACGGTGTCGCTGCTATGCGAGTATTAAATAAAATTCATTGCATTAATTAAGTGTGAAATCCAATAAAACTGTTTTGTTAAGCATTTTAACTACCAGTTGTGTCATTGAATGCAATTAGTTGCAAATTAGCAGGACATTGAAGCTGATGAACCAAACGAACTGATGAAAGTACAAAGGAGCTCAGCTTTCAATGAGCTATTTCAATGAGCAGTAACTACTGTACTTAAGTCAATCGAGCAGGCTGCTTTTAGATTACGCTGCGTACTTACAATTTTTTCCTTGAGCATTTGGCACTTCTTTGTCGTTGGCAAAGCCTTGCACAAAATCGACTCAGCTGCAAGGAAGCTCGACAAAGCGAAGAATGCCCGCTGATACATACTTAAGCACTATAAGCGAATAGCTACAAACACAAGCGCACAAATTTCTTCCATACATATACATAGTTACTGTGTGTGTGAGTAGCTACATTGACAGAGCATAAAATTGCAATGTAAAAGGGCGAATAGTAAGACTTTGAAGATTTGCTTGAGCAGCGTTTATGTAACATAAGACGCAAGATTGAGCTTAAGCCGATGACGTCGGAGCAGCTGCGTAGTGTTGTCGGCATAGAAACGCAGTTGGCTGTTAGCGATAATGAAGTTGCCATTCATTTGCTTGCGATTGTGTGAACAGTCGAATATGCGATGATGATGCTGGGGCTTCGACTACGCCGACTCATCATTTGTAGAAGCGGATTAAGTGCTTGAATGTGTGTAGAGAAAGAAATGAAAGAGTTTCTTTGCCTCATCACTTCCACATCTACTCTACACCACCGATTTCTACATGCAATTTAGTTTCGTCTGGCAGCAGTAAAGTCAATGCATGATGGCACTATCGTTGCTATTGCTGGCGAAATCCTTTCGAAAGTGCGGCAGTGCCTTCCCTGTCCATGTCGGCAACTACAATGATGTGCTTAGTGCACAATGTAAAAGCGCACTTGAAAGCCGTTGATAGTTTGACAGGCACTGACAAGCGAGAGAAAGAGAGACGGAGAGACGGTGAGAGTGTATTGCAGCTTAGTTTTTAAATCAGTGAAGGATTTGACATGTTCGAAAAAAGTGCAACAGTTGCTCAAACGCATTTTTATATTACACCAGCTTGTAATTAAGCTTTCACACGAACGCTCTAATGCGTGAGCGCGCTCTGACATATGTATAGCTTGCTTCTATGCTTCTATGCTCATACGTATATACATATGTACATGATTACAGTTATGTATGTGCCAAATTAATGATACCTGTGTGCACTTTGCGCGACTGTACAGCCGCCCATTCAATGCGGATGAAAGCGGTCTGCCACTCACACACATACGCACAAACACAAAGGTACTTATGCACACATATCTACATACTTAGCTGTACAAAAAAAAAGCCTAAAACTTGCTTGCAACTTGACATTTCTATAGACGGAAATTTAATTGCTGTCGTTTTTTGTTGTTGCTGCGATAGGTAAGGGAATCATAAGGCATTAGTGCTGACATTATCTGCTTACTCAAGCTTTCCTTTCTTTCGAGATTCGTAGTATGGTTGATAAGATTTAGGTTGCAGTTCTGGCCAGGCTATGTAGTGAGTGGTCAATTATATTGGAGATTTCAGATTTTAGCGCTCAGTACTTGCAAATATTTGAATTAAAAAAGGAGTACTGTGTGAACATAGAAAATTTGTAAAATTTGTAAAATTTGACATTTTTGACCTCTTGTAGATTACTTTATACTCTAAATTTCAATAAAAAAATAAAAAAAAAACTATAATCGGTCTCTCTAGTAGCTATATGATATAGTATCTGTATATCGTTCTGAACAATTTGTTGGGAGATTGTACCGTTGTGAAGATAATTTCTGAAATAACTTTTTTTTGCATAGATTAAGACTATATTTGAACACTGACTAATGAATATCAAGGTTGAGGAAATGTTTAAGATACTTTTGATTAAAAATTTGGTGGTGTCATGAACTTTTAAAAGCACCGTTGGCATAATTTATTAGTACGACAAGTTTTGCGTTTGCACTAGGAAAATTTTGAACTTGCAAATAGTTACCGCAAAAACAACTCAATCTATTTAGATTAAATTAAAAATTGAGCGCGATAAAAACTACCATTTGTGCATACAACTTAATTCACCTCCAATACATTAAGCGTATCAAATCAACCATCACCATATTGATATATTAGAGCTTTGTAAGTTCTGGTGTTAGTTTCACAAACCTCTCAATAAAGGGGACAGTTTATGGTATTTAAACATGTGGCTACCTTGTTACTCTATGCGCTAATAGATATCCAATCTCAAGAGCAAATAGTTGCTAAACATAACCACTCAGTGTTATTCTATGGGCATACGATAGCTTCGCTAGCTTTCCAAGGTTGCTTAAATATGAGATTTTAACTCGGCGCATGATTGCACATTGACATTCATAGCAATTTTATCATTGAGAAATGCATTTTTTATGTTGCTGTTGTTGAATTTCAATACGAACGTGTAGTTGATCGGGCGTGAACGGCTTAGTGGCATAAAACGCATCAATGATTGCATATGAAAAAAGATGCGATAGCTTTAAGTGCATAAGCTTTACTAATTCATGTAAACGCAATGTGATTTTTAATTTGACAATTAATATTACAAGAAGTATATTTTTAAATTTAATTGATTAAAAAACCAGTGGCGCTCGGGAAATGAACATTTTGTTTATTCAAATGTTCACTTCCGAGGCATTGCTGATTTTCCATATACTACAATTTTGGAAAGTGCTCAAATTAGTTTATAACAAAGACCCGCATTTGAAAAGGTTACCTGCTGTCAGCAGCGTAGCTCTCGTAGTTCATCACTGACTTGGTATACAAATGAGTGGTTGACAACCCACCCTCGTGCATATATGGGAATGTAGAGCATATATGTCTACTATACTGATACCTTTAGTGAATCGTCATTATCACAACTCGGTAAAAACTCAAGTCAGTATGTATGATTGATCATGCATACGTTTAAGTTTCATATGGTGGCATTTTGCAGTTTGCAGGGAAATGCAATCGCCTCAATGAAATACAATATATATACTCAAGTATAGAAGAAAATTGGAAAACTGCATAGATCGAGCCACAGCATATAAATATAGAGCGGCCCAGTGCATTAGGCACAGTTCTCTTTTATCGCTTTCGGTGTTCGGTCATAGTATTCTGTCTTACGCATTTAGTCGTTTATCAGCATGCGTGGATTTACCGTAGTCTTAGCTGTGTTGGTCGCACTGGCTTTCCTCTATCAAAGTGAAGCAGCGGCTATTGATGAGCCATCTCCCGCAGCCGCAGCCGCAGAGGAGTCCAAAGCAGCAACTAATCTCTTAGACGTAGACGCGGGCGGCGAGCATAGCAGCGACTCGCAGAGGTCGGCCCGTCAATATGGCTACGGATGGTCATATGGTTGGGGTCAGCCGTGGAGCTACTACAGTAACAGCTGGAGCCGCCCATGGGGTGGCTACGGTTGGGGTGCTTGGGGCGGTTATGGTGGTGGCTGGGGCCGCCCATGGAATTACTGGGGTTGAATTAAAGTAATGTTGTCATAATTTGCACCTTGCGTGAAATATGTGATTAAGATCAGAATTGGAGAAAAATATGGCTTGTAATTATTGAATATGACAACTAACGCTTTGAATTGAGCAATATATGTAAATTCATATACATATGTACATAAATAAAAATTGGTTTTGATTGGAATTCTGTAAGCTTATGTATTTCGTGCACATAGATTGGTAGGTACGCAGATTAGAAATGATATATGTTTGTGGTTTTCAAATCTTAGGTCACCTACAGTATATTTACTGATTTACTTAGTTCAGCCCAAAGTAGCTGAGGGCGTGTCGCTTCGGGGGTTTGAAACCGCAGAAATTAATTGCAACAATAAACTCTTTCCAAAACATTAGTTTGTTTATGAACTGTAACCCGAAAGCCTGACGTTTGAGTATTTACATTCCTCAATAAAAATGCAAATTTAAACAAATTTATAGAACTTTTACGAAATACGTTGCATTTAATTTTTGCTACAAAACTCGCTGTCTCAATTGGGTAAGACAGTGCTGCAGCACTGCTGAATGTCGGTGACCTTTTTCAATTAACAAATGAAAATTGTGTGACAATATTAATGCGTTTATTTAAAATTATTAAATATAATTGGTTTAAAAAGTAGAGAAAAAGTCCTATGATCTTTATTCATATGTGTTTGTGTGTTGAAGTGTAAAGTTGAGTTGAGTGATTTATGGCTTAAAATTTCTATTGAATCACATAAATTAATTGATGCCAATTTGTAACAAGTTCATTGTTTCCGTTTCCTATTATTGAGCTTCCGTCATTATAGCTTTAACCCTGTAGTGAATTCGGCTGTTCTTACTATTAAAATAAACTTTTGTATTCAAAATTATCCGCTACTGAGAAAAATTATGTTTAAAATAAGCGTTCCTCTTGACTTAGTTATCGTACAGCTTGCTTAAGGAAATGAAGGTTATTATTTTAGATATAGCACCTACTGGTTGTGTGAACATACCGAATGCTAAGAAGAGTAAAATGTCCTTGTGCTGCTTTTGTAACGACTTTGTTTAGCATTAAATTACAATGAAATTTACTGACCAAGCATGGCGGTAAACGCAAATTGCCAAATGGCTGAATGTGGCGATCTTGTTAGTGCAACGAGTGACCGAATTTGCAGCGTCATCATTTATTAACAATGCAACCCTGCTGGCTGTTACTATGACCACCAGTGACGACAATGCAAACCGACAAATCACAAATTGCAAATTTGCAAATGAAAATCAAATTATTGAAGTGAAAAACGACATACGACTTTTATCGTTGTTATTGGACATCATCAACAGACAGTCTGGCCAACACATCCTGCATGCACCGCACACACTCATTGTACACGCATACAGGCGGAACCCCTATTTATTTACTCATTCATAACATATGTATGTAGACGAGGCTTCCAAAATATAAAAGCCGCATCTATGCAGAGGTTGAGTAGTTTGAGCGAAATCATTTCCATTCCAAGCAGAAATAGGCAAAAACCCAGCGATGCAATCAAGTGGTGAAACACTGATAAATGCGAATATTTATGACCAACATTAGATTTGCTTGGATACAGCTTTATGCGCATGTAATTGTATATATATGCGGTTCCGAGTTATTTATATGTGTAAATAAACATTGAATATTTTTCGGCAAATAATTTCAATGAACAAGCCAAACAGCTAAAATTTCCCAATAAATAACAAACGCAGAGTATACTGATTAATAATCGCATCATTTGAATACTTACAGTTCAGCTTAGCACTTTGTACGTCTCAGAAGTAGAGTTTAGGGTGTAAATAAAATACTGAAATACATAACATTCAACTATTCCTGCTCAAGCCCCAAAAATGAAATATAAAGTTCCAATCTCTTGTTGAAAATAGCCATTGTCGCGATTAAATGGCTGAAGTTTAGGCAATAGACTATAAATATATAACATACAAGTAGATGGTTTAAAAATTAGCTGAAGCTCACTTAGATGCGCTGCTTCAACGCCTGTTGAAGAACGACCTCTATGTACTAAAAAAAGTTGCTCTAATAGTTCAGAGTCACTTTGTTATTTAATAGTACGAATGGAAAATATTTAACCATATCAAAACTCTACATACGAGTATGCACATACAATTAACAAGTATTCACTACATTGAAAATCGACTTGGATATTGGAGGTAATAATACCTTGAGTTAAATAACACTAATACCCTGACTTTTTTTTTAAATATATATGAGTGTTCAGAATTTCAAATCAGGAACTTATAGTATTTTATTTCAATTAAGCTTGTAATTTTTAATAATTTCCTTGCCTTGGCTTTAATTCTTTGAGCACACATACAGCATAAATTTGCTTATATTTTTACTTACAAGCATTATACTTGTATAACGAAATATGCAGTGAAATGAAAAATGCTTGTAATGCAGTACAATTGAATAAGTAAGTATTAGACATAGTATTTTGCCATATGCAAAGTAGTAGACTTTAAAAAAGCAATTAACTTGGAATCAGTAAATATTCATTGTTAATGCTTTACTTTTTGATGATTAATAATTCCTTAGAGTACCTTTTGAAATTGGTAAAATTTTCGGTCGACATTTAGAGGCACTCAACCTTTTTAATATACATTCAGCAAAATAAAGCTAAATATTTTTATTACACATTTGAATTAATTAATTTTTATTCGTTGACATTTCGTTTGAAACGTAAGTTTGGAGAAATAATCAAACGACCGCTGGATGACTCTATTTCTAAAATACCAAATTTTTTATTTAGCCATATATATTTTCTAGCTTTAACCGTGAACTTTTTAATTAAATAAATCATAACAAAATTGTGCAATAAAATACGAAAAGCTTTTTCAAACTAATTTCGAATTTTTTACATTAGATAATATTAAACAATTTCAACCTTGGATATAGTGCTTTCTATAGAACGGTAGCTGTCTCCTACGCGCTTTATAGCGACGGAGATAAGGGTAGTTAAATCAGGGGTAGTAATAACCACCAAAGTGGATACGATATACGAGTATTCCGTTACCGTTTTAATAGCCTCTATTAGAACGTAGCAATGATCTGCGGTAGCATTCCACTTCTGTCGTTGAATCCTTGATGTCAGCCGAGTAAGATGGCGCATATACAGTTTTGTATAAATTCAGATGATTGGGTGCTATATAAATTTATGATGATTTATAAATTCACTTGATTGACTACTGCTTGAGTACACAGTTTGGCTACGCTTTTCCGCAGTTATTGAAGAAAACTTAACCGAAGCGGAGCTGGGCACCTGCCCACTGGCTGCTGGCTCCGCGTATATCGGTTGCAGTGCGAGTATACATATATGATAGATGCAACTCTGTTTAAAAAAATTTGTTTACAAGCCATATTGGTATGAAAATACTACGATATTGTAGCTAATGTATATATCCTCTAAGCATCTCAAGCCGCCTTGCCATATGTACATCAATATGGCAACTAATGAAAATGTTGATATATTGCTTTGAGATTTTTAAGAATATTCTCCAGTCTAGTCATATTTGCTGAATTAATTATGTAGCGAAATCGTATTTGTCCCGCCTTTTTGTTGAACTCATTCGCATTTTGTCGCACAGGTTAAAACATTCCTATGAACCAAACAAACAAGTTCTTATCTTCATTCATTGATTCACCTCTCGCTAACGATCATAAAAATTTGAGTAAATATTTATGGGGAATGTTTATTTGTTGGCAGCTGAAAGATGCCTTTTAAGGCTATAATTGGCTCATCACGTTTTACTATATGTATAAACATCTATATTTATAGTAAATACACTTCCGAAAAGAATAAATGAAGGAAGCTAAGACCACGTTTGTTTCGTGTACACAGTATACGAGTATATAGTGTATTGTTTATTTTTTGAGTATTCGGTAATTGAATCAAATTTCTTAACTTGTACTTTCACTTATTCAAATTAGGACTGTAAATAAACAATTTTAGAAAAATTACAGAATAATTCATACTTACATACTTTGTGGTAATATTCCGTTTTCCAATCTTATTTAATACTTAAATATTTGTGCTACATAGTAAAATAGTTTGGTTCACCTAAAGTTTGTTTGTTTCACTTAAAACTAAACGAGATAGATATGAAGTTATTTATACATAAATGATCAGGATGAGGAGCCGAGTTGAAATCCGGATGTTTGTCTGTCCGTCCGTCCATCTGCCTGTGCAAGCTGTAACTTGAGTAAAAATTTAGATATCGGACCACTGCCACGCCCACAAAACGCAATTAAACGAAAATTTATAAAATTACACCTAATTACCAAAAATTTACCAAATCGGACTAAAACTATTCAAGTCCCCAGAGACTGAATATGTGTACCTCAGTTTCTACAGCGAAAATTGTATCGAAAATATGGACAATCTGTGAGATATACATATGTTATTATAGAAATTCGAAGATAATCCTTTTCTGATATAAATTTGTCTGTATGTCAAAAAAGAGCTGTATCGGGTCAATAATTACTTTAGCCTCCATATACCTAATAGACAGATTTTCTAACAAACGGTTGATTTTATATCGCAAGTATTGGAAAATAGGTAAGATGCCTAAGCAAAATTGACTGAACGTATAATATTAGATAGACTCTAGTTTAATGCCGAAAATATGTGAATTTAGTCCACAAAATACCACATACTACAAATAATGATTTTCTAACAAAACTTATGCACCTAAAGGTATTTCCCTGGCTTTGACCCAGGCAAGTTGAAAGTGTATGAAATGTTCGGTTACTGATTTATACATATTGTAGTGATTGCTTTCAGTTAGGTTATTGAAAAAAAGGTATTTTGGATATAAAGTAAGATATACAGTAGTAATGAAAGTATTCACTTGACATGTTGTATAAGGTAAGAAAAATGACGGCACAATTCACAATTGATGATATCATAGCAAACGTTTTACAATATAATTTTGGCAAATGTATAATAAAACGCCTTTAGTTCTTGCAAAATTAAGTAACTCAATATATTCCAAATTTTATACATAACTTTTACTTAGTTTTATATCTAGTACTGTAAATTCACGATACCATAGCAGATTGTTAAGGTTATTTCACTCCGTTAAATATTCGACCAATTTTGTCAAATTATTTTTATACCCTGATCAGGGTATATTAAG